TTGGATCTTGCTTTAGGGGAAGTCAGCCTTGATGTCTTCAGGACATTGAAGAAGCCCCAGGGAGGGGTCAAAGTGGCTAGGAGTGAAGGCTTCCTGCCAACAACCAATATTAACTTGCTAGGCCTGTGAGTGAACCACTTTGTGTGGATCCTGCTGCCCAACAGAGTCTTGAGATGAGTGTAGACATCTTCACAGCAACCTAAGCCGTTCCAAGATTCCTGACCCCCAGAGACTGTGAAAGTTAGTAACTGTTTTTTGCTTTTCGCAGCTAAATTTTGTTATGTGGTCATAGATAACTAACACTTTTTTTTGTTTTTGTTTTTTGGTCCATTTAAAGTCTTCTCAAAATTGCCTATTTACACTGTGCCCATTTCCTATTGTGCCACTAAAAAAATTATGTAGTTTATACTTTATATGTGAAATATACATTAATCCTTTGTTATACATGCTACAAATACTTTTCTTAGTTTATTGAAAATTTTTAAACTTTACAGTTATGGGTTTACATTAATTTTAAATCTTCATCTAGTCTAAAAATCTTTCCCTTAATGTCTTTGACATTTTGTACATTGTAATAAAAAGACTCTGTCTACCTTAAGGTTTTATAACTGTTTTTTTTATAGAGCATTTACTATACAAGGAATTCATTAAAAAATTTTTCTCCCAGATGGATATCCAGTTGCCATAAACTAATTATTATACCATTTAAAGTATTTTTAAAATTTAATAAAACTTTCCTGTTTAAACATTTATTAAAACTATTTAAATACTATTTATTGAAGTTATTTTTCTCCCCATGAGTCTGAAATGCCATTGTTTTTTCATACCATGTTCCCATATATCCAAAGATCTAGTCCTGGACTATTTGGTTCCCTTGAGCATTGCCTAATTCTGCTCCAGAATCACACAAGGTTTAATTACTATGGCTTTATAGTATGTATTGGTATTCTGTAGATTAACTTATCCCCTCATTCATTTTATTTTTGTTCAAACTTGCCCTGGCTATTCATTTTTCAAAAGAATATTAAAACCGGTTTGTCACTGTTCTTAGCTTGTTGATACTTTGATTGTATTAACTTTATAAAGTATTTTGATGAAGGCTTACATCTTTAAAATACTGGGTCTTCCTATCCAGGAACATGATATAACCATTTTCAGATCTTTTATGTCCTTTAGTAAAGTGTCTTTTTTTTTTTTTTTAGTTTTCTTCATATAGGTCTTACACATTTACTGTTAAGTTTATCCTTACACATTATACATTTTTAACCATGTTATTAATGAAACCTTGGTTTTCCCTGTTATTTTCTAATTGGTTAGTGTTGATGTGTAAGAAAGCTATTGTATATGAAATCTATTGCTTGTATATTTTACTTTTTAATATCTGAGACCTAATGAAACTATTATTCTAATAATTTTTAGAAGTTGATTCTCTTTTATGGAGCCCATTTCATTTGCAAATAAACTTAGTTTTCTGTCTTCCTCTCCAACATTGGCATCTCTTACTTCTTTTACCTGCCTTAGTGAATTGGCAAAGGCCTACAGCGAAATGTTAGGACAGTAGTTGCGAAAGTTATTGACACGACTATGATGCCTCCTCACATGATGTTGAATAGGATATTTGCTGTGGTGTTAGGGTGGTTAACGTTTATCAAACTAAAGTTTCTTGCTATTTCTAGGTGGTTAAGAATAATTAGGAAGAGGGTTACTGATTTATTAATGTTTTTTCAGGATCTGCTGGGATATTCATTTTATTTTCTAATCTGACAATGTTGAGAAATATATCAACAGATTTCTTAATGTTTAACCTTTATATTCCCAGGGTGAATCTTATTTGGTTATGATGTGTTGATTTTATAATTGAATGTTGAATACATAATACATTCTAGGTAGATTTTGGTCAAAATTTCTAATATAAGTTGATATTTAAAGGAGTTAATCACTAAATTTGCTGAAAAATATTCCTACCCACTACTAGGTTAACGTGGTATTTTTAGTGTAAGACTTTTGTACCCAGGTTCCAGCAGAACTTTAGTTCGCTTATGTAAATTTTTTGCATTTATTAACAGATACTCTTTAATGTCATAAATCTGTATCTGCCATGCATTTTTATTAATGTTCTAAGGAAATATTTAACTGGCCTGTCACCGACTCTCGAGTCAGACTAAAAGATCTGTAGAAACAAGGTAACACATTTACCATGTTCTCTGCAGTGCTATTCTTTTATCTCCTTCTTAGTGGTTGGTTACTCACAGAACCTGGTTAGAAATTTAGCTCTTCTAATTATTGGCAAATAGTTTCATAATTATTCACCCTCTCTGGAGCTCAGTTATGCCATCTGTAATAATTAAAATTATAATAATACCACTTATGATTGAGCTGATAGGCCTTCAAGAACATGTCCATGTATTGAGAGCTTGTGTACATTTTCAGTAAGGCAACATTATAGACAGCAATTAGGAGAATATGGCAGATAGGTTTCATTTGGACCATCTGTCAGATCTTTATGGACCCACACATCTCTGCCTCTTTAATCCAACTGGTAAATAGGTACTATGTCAGACAAAATTATATATGCCAGGCTGCTAGCAGGCTGTTCTGGAAGAATGGTATAGAAAACATCTTAAAAGCTTGACCAGCAAGCTGTAGCTCAAGGATTTTATGATTACATAATTGTAGGTTACATTCCCCACTGGGACTTTAATAACCAGTTTCGACCAATCTTGAAATTGGGGGCTTTCTTCCATCAGTAACCATTATTTTTTAAATAAAAAACAGAACACTACTTCTTAGTCCTTGTGAGTTCTATTGCACATAGCACTTCCTCATGGGCTTGGTATGAATTTTCAATAAAACACGGTATGCAATAGCATAGTATAATACCTGCTATATTCCACTGGTTTTGTGGAAATGAGTATTTAAATGTTTTCAAGAAAAATGTGCCAGGTAATATACCTAGTGGGGAATAACTTTTTTTTAAAGGATACTTCCCCCAAAACCCAGTGGGTGAAGGAGATAAGACAACCAAGAGAGTGTAATAGCCACTGGAGGCTTAAGGGAACCTACAGTCTGGGCTCTGGACTCAGCATGGAGTCCAAACAGCTACCCTGTATTTTGCCATGTGTAATGCACATTTTTTTGCCCAAATTTTTGAGGTAAAAATAAGGATGCACATTATACATGGGTAATACTAATTGCATATCTATATAAATGTTTTTAAGTTTTTTAAAAATTCAGTTACAGTTGTCCCCGTTTTTCTCTCCCCTGCCTGGCCTAACCCACATGCCTAAAGACGATCCCCACCCCATTGTCCGTGACCGTAGGTCCTTTGTACTTGTTCCTTGACTTGACCTTCCCCTTCTTTCCCCTGTTATCCCCCCCACACACACACCTCCCCTCTGGCAGCAGTACTAATTCTGTATCTGTTTTTAATTCTTTTATTTATTATGCTTATGCATTAAAAGTGTAACTCTAGAAAGCAATAATGCTATCCATATGCAAAATAATACCCTGGAATATGATAATCAGTTTTGTTTCTAAATAAATAAAAATTGGAATTAAAAATGAAACAAGATTTTTTTTTTCCTGAAAGTTTGGGCCAAAAACGTGGGTGCACATTATGCACAGCAAAATACGGTGTTTGGTTACATCGGGAGGTTCAGGCCAGTAGAAGAAAAGAAGAAAGGAGGTGCCTTCCAGGGCACAGCTGCTGCTGAGGCATTGAGAGGCAGACACATCCTGAAATTGCAAGTGTGTGGACGAGGAGGATGGGTCTTCAGATCAGGCTAATGTAGAAAGGGTTGCAGGGTCCACATCAGACTTTCTTAAAGCAAAGGGCCTGATTGTTCTTTATCATGGCTTGGGGGCTCATCATAAACTTCAGAGTTTCCCTAGTTGAACTGGCTCCTGGCTTCAAGCACAACCTGAGTTAGGTACAACTGTTTGCCTGACATTCAAGAAGCTGCACCGGTGAAGTCATTTCTCAGTGATCCGCGAGTCACCTCCCAATCTGTATTCTGCTGCGTGCTCTCAGCCAAGGAAGAAACTCACAGTTTAAATAGGTAACCTGATTATCAAGTTTCCTTAACGGGAACACTTCATCTTTTAGATACTTTCAGGTTATTAGGTCCTGACCCTAGGGGCAGATTTGGTCATACTATTTTTCTTTTGGCATCTTCTATTTAGTTTTGTAGTTAAAAGGCCCTATACAGTTACTTAGAGGCGGCATTTTAGAATCGGAGCAAGCAGCACAAGGGAGTCTCAGGACCAGACGACCTTCAGGCTTTGTACTGTACCATTCCCAGGTATGAGGGCTAACTCAGAACGAGACGTTCACCCTGTAATTTTAGGGAAACAGGGAAGTTTTGGTAAAAATTGGAGGGTGCACTGCTAATGCAAGCGGAGAGTTAAAGTGAAAATTCAACCGGCCCTGGCCGGGTCGCTCAGTTGGTTGCAGCGCTGTCCCAATACGCCAAGGTTGGGAGTTCCATCCGTGGTCGGGACACACGAAAGAACCAACCAGTGAACGCGTAAATAAGTCGAACGACAAGTCGGCTTCTCTCCCTCTCTCTCTGAAATAAATAAAAATTTAAAAAAAGAAAAGAAATTCAAACCAAAACAAAATCAAGAACTCCAATGCTCTTCTAGTTCTTGTGGTCTTGCAACCTGCTCGAGGTAGTGTCTTGCAAATGGCAAACCTGCGTTCGCCTGAGCCCGAAGGGCAGGGATCGCCCGGGTGGGGCCCTGGCCCAGACACCCGGCGCGGAGACGCGCACACCCCTTTTCTGCAGACTCACAGGTTTCAGGCCTCGCCTTCTCCGGGCCCAGCTGGCCTCCGCCGCCCTTTAGGCCTGGAACCCAGGCGACCAGGGCCCCTCGTCCTCCGCTCCCCGGCCTCGGCGTCCAGCGTCGGCGCCCCCCCTCCAGAGTGCCGCGGGCGGCGGGATTCGCTGGAGACCTGGGTCCGCGCCGCGCAGCCGCTGGGTCCCAAGGGCGCAGGGAAGGGAGGCGGGGCGGCGGGGCCGGGGGCGGAGCGGCGGCTACGAGCCCGTCCCTGCTCGGCCTCCGCCGGCCGGCTGGCGCGGCCATGGAGGTCTACATCCCGTCCTTTCGCTACGAGGAGAGTGACCTGGAGCGGGGATACACGGTAGGCGCGCGCCCCGCGATGAGGACCCGAGGCTGCTCAGTCCCAGAGGTGACCCTCAAGCCGCCGTCGCCCCAGCTCGGGGGTCCCTTCGCTCCCTCCCCTCCCCCGGCCCAAAGGAAGGGCTGCGCCCCGGCGCGGTTGTCAAGGAAACGGACACCCCCCACCCCTTCCCCGGCGCCGCGGCTGCGGGCACCGGAGGTGTCCTGCTTCCGTCCCTTCTCCCTCCCCGCCCAGCTCCCGGTGCCGGGACAGAAGCCCCGGGGGACGCGGCGCTTGCCATTCTCCCGCCGCGCGGCGCCTGGCGCCGGGCTGGGCTGCGTTCCTTTCTGGCACAGCTGCTCCCTGTGCCCAGACAGAAGTGGCTTCGCGGCGGGTTGATGTGGGCTTCCAAGTTCTGTAGGTTTCATTCAGATGGGCATTCTAATTTTTTTTAAGTCGTCATTTGCAGCTCTTTATTAACGACAATGTGTTGCTTTTAGATTGTTTCCGAAGTTGTTTTTTTTTTTCCAGTTCTGTGCTACAAAATGACTAAATCAGGAATGTATGGAGCACCTGTTCCATACCTAGAACCGTATGCAGTGAGAAATAAAAAACAGGGCCCCGCTCTCAGTAGCGGAGTGGGCGGGGAGGGCGGAGACCAGGCCTGGGACCTTTGGGTTACAAGTTCAATGAGTAAACAGTAGGTGGTTGATTTCCCAATGAATGTAGACATCTTTTACTCGACAGTCATTGCTAGAGGGAGAAATGCCTCCCCCTGGATAGACCTGGGAAGAATTTGGGTCTGATAGGATTGTTTTATTCACTTCTCGTTCACTCAACTTGCTCCACACCAGTTACTACTAATTTGGCAGAGAAGTACTTTAACTTCTCCTCTTCCCCGTGTTACTGGTTTTTGGTGACAGCCTATTGGGAACCTTGTATTTTCATTAAATCATCCTCTCAAAGGAATTTTTAGAATCTGGTGTACTGTAGCAGGTAGAGAAGGGTTGGGTAGGGAGGGATCGGGATGACTGATGTCACTCTGTCCTTTGAGCCTTGAGAGGGGAGAGGGCAGTTCTGCTCTGCCTTGGGGTGCTGTGCTGGGGGAGGGGACAGAGGGTGCTTAGGAGTGCTGACAGGGCCTCTGATTTGGTTTTGCTGGGACTGTGAATTCTACAAAGAGGAAGTGCAGGGCAGAGTCTCCTCTCAGGCCAAAGGGATGTCACACTACCAGTTTATTCGAAAACAAGGGCAACATCTAAATCATTTTAGTTTACAAAGAAGCAGGAGAGTATATTGTAACAAAACACTGATGAACTCAAATATTACTTCACGGGGAGGTCATTCTCTATCCACCAGGCTTCCCTCCCACCCCTGCCCAGTTTATTTCTTCACTATCTCTTGCCCTGCTAGGCTGTAAGTACCTTGAGGCTAGGACAGTGTCAGTCCCCGCTGCCGTGCCCTAGTACAGGGCTCCCTGGTAGTGAGAATTCAGTACCAGTCTGCGGAATAAGCAAACAACGGTTGAGTGTTGTAACAGAAGAAAATCGGAAAAGGAGAGTAATTCCTGACAGGAAGGTGCTGACTAGCTCTGAGAACTACAAGAAAGGATGGACTTCAACCTCAGACAGCAGGAAGCCACGGGAGAGTTTTAAGGAAGGAAGTAACATGACAAACTTTGCATTTAGAAAGATGACCATAAAGCATTAATCATTTAAGAGAAGTTTGCAAAACTTCAGAAAGGAGAGGATGGGAGCCTGAACTAAGGTGACTTAGAAAGGAAAGGACATGACTGCAGGAATCCCCAGGACCAGGTGACCAGATGTGAGACAGCAGGGTGACTCCCATGGGTGCAAGTCAAATCAGATCCAAGAAGAACTGATGGCGGCGGGGCGGGAGGGGGCGCGGTGTGTGGATTGCATCTGTTTTTTGTTTGTTTTTTTGTGGCAGGTGAGGCTCTTTGATTTTGGAGTTCAGGATAAATGTAAGGATATATAAGGCTGGAAATATGGCTCTAGGGGGCCATTCAGCATAAGAGATGAAAAGGCATAAAAGTTGAAGTTATTCCCAGGAAGAGCATGTGGAGTGAGGAAAGAGGGAGAACTGAAGGTAAAACCTAGAACTTGCATGAGCAAAGAATGATTAGCATAGATCTAGAGGGAGAAGGAAGCCCAGAAGTGTCAGGCAAGAAGAGACATATGGCAGGTACTTGAGCAGAAGAAAGGTGCCGGATGTGGCTGAGCGCTCTTGTTAGGTAAGGATGGAGAACCATCCATAGACACAAGGGTATGCAGGTCCTGGGTACCAGCATAGGCTAGTGTTTTCATTTTTCAGGTACATTGTTGGGAAAAACAACAAAACCAGAGTTACTACTTAGGTAACAGCACAAAAATTTGAGTATATTAGATATCATTTTTCCTACTGGTAAAAATTAAGACACTGCATTAGATGGTTGTTCAAGTCCATTCTAACTCTGTGACTGACTGTGTTGTGCTTAGGTAAATATGTATTTCTTTGGGTCTGGACTCTCACTGATTACTTGGTGCATCATGCTTTTCAATACATAAGGCAGATTCATATATACATGATCATAATATTGAGATATATGCAGGGATCATTATTGTTTTCATATTTTATGGATTAAAATACAAAAATGGAACAATAGAGTGAACCACTATTTACCCATTTCTCAACTTCAGTATTTCACAACTTTTATTTACTTCTCATTCTTCCATTTTTAAAAAAAATTCTGGAATATTTTCAAGCAAACCCAAGATATTTCACCTGTGAATATTTCACTCTGGCTACCTGACAGGGAATGACTTCTTAAACAAAACCAAAATGAAATTTTACCAAAAATTAGCAAACACTTTTATATTGTTACTCATCCAAAGTTCTTGTGCCAGATGCTTCAGAAGGCTAAAACTCAAAATGCCAGAGCCTGGAGTAGGGAAAGGTTTATTGACCAAGAAGGTGGGAGACCTAATCCTAAAATCCATTTTAAGAAAGTACAGAGTCCAGGCTTCTTTTATATGAATGGAAGGGAAAATGAGAGGGACTGTTTTTATAAGAACTCAAGCCCCAAACAGAATTTTTCTAATGATTAGCATGTCTAAAGCAAGAGCTATTAGCCTGAAGGTCATGGGAACAACTCAGGCTTGAACAAGATAGAGTCAGGGAGACAGAGCTCCTCATGAGAACCTACTGCCTGATGATCTGAGGTGGAGCTGAGGCGGTAATGCTAGCGCTGGGAAGCAGCTGCAAATGCAGATTATCATCAGCAGAACGGTTTGCCTGCACAGAGACTGTAATAAATCAATTGCTTGCAGACTCATCAAAACCCTACCAGTGAGTGGCAAGTGACAATTAAGCTGCATCTGGTGGCAGGCTGTATAGTGGCAGTGAATTGATGTACTTCAATTGTACAGTTGCATCTGGTGGCTGGCTTTAAGTCAGAATCTTACCCTTCAGTCTGCATGTGGCCCACCCATTGTTTTATTTACCACTTCCATCTGTGCCTCTTTCTTGCACTGAGCACTTGTCTCAGTCACAGTTTTGGTAAGCCTACAAGCTACCCCTAGGATGTGGTAAGTTGTATAGAAATAAAGTGCACAATAAGTGTAATGTGTTTAAATCATCCCAAAACCATTCCCCATACCCCTGGTCCATGGAAAAATTGTCTTCCACGAAACTGGTCCCTGGTGCCAAAAAATTTGGGGACTGCTGATCTAGAGGAAGAGAAGATGAGGCCATTTTTTTTCCCCCAGAAGCTCCGAACAGATACATCTTCCTTATATCTCATTATCCACAGGTGGTTTCTCAACTACTCCTGTTGCCAGGGGAATCCTGGGTGCCGGTTGGCTGAGGCCAGGGCTACCTAAACCAATCATCATGGCAAGGGTAGGTTAACCAGAGAAAGTTAAAATAGAGGCCATCGGGGGCTGGGAATGAGGTCAGTCATTCCTGTCACCTAACTCTGTAGACGCCATAGTGGGAGAAGGTCAGGAGGGCAGTGAGAGCACAATGTCCACAGCAGTGTCCTTCAGTCACCCATTATATGCATCATCTGTGATGAAGGAGTCCTTTGTGTAGCAAGGACAAAGCTGGCACATTGCCTAACTTATGGTAGGCACACAGGATCAGTGAACATTAAATACATGTTGAGTGTTTAAATCAAGCATATGTAAGATATGTTACTTATGGTACTTAAGGACAAGAAATACAGTTTGAAAATATTCTTGAACATTAACAAACAGAAGGCTACATTCCCTTAAAAATCAAAATGCAAGGGTCAGGAAGAAGTAACGCCTGCTTGAGTATGGTTGGTAGGGTACTAATGTGGGTGTAAGAACTTACAGTTTTAATTTGAATATTTTACCTAAAATGTCATATGGTGTGCTTGAGTGTGATATTGTTATATCATAGAATTACATGCCTATGATTTTGCTATAAAGGTTTTGTAATTAAAAGGGGGCATTATTCGTGCTGAACCCTGTACGTACAAGGATTGATTTTGCAAATATGTTTGGTGCTTAGAAATTTGGAAACAGAAGTAGGTTTATATTCATTGAGATAGAAATAAATTTTAGTCTTTTCTCAGTAGTTTTTACTTTGTAGTTTACTTATTAATATAAGCTTTTAATTTTGAAATAATTTTAGATTTGCAGAAAAATTGCAAGGTTAGTCGTGAGAGTTCCCATATACCTCTCACCCAGTTTCCCCATTGTTGATATTATGCATTACCATTGTAATGTCAAAACAAGAAAACTAACACTGATACATTACAATTAACTAAACTTCAAACTTTTCTTGGACTTCACCACTTTTTCCGCTAATGCCCTTATTCTGTTCCAGGATCTGATCCAGGATGCCACATGGCATTGTTTCCTCTGCTTTGATGTGATACTGAGTTAGTAGTCTAAACTGTACAATAGCACATGGTCTCAAAAATGAGGCAAGTATGTTATTAGAAATGAAGCTTTACAGATCACATCAAATATTGTTCATTTCAGATGCTTCCT